TGTTGTCATTTGTCATTGAAAAAAGGCTTTGTGAAACGCCTCCCTGTACTATTCAAGGTCGTGTTACTGATGTCAAGAACAAATATTTTCATACACATTCTAACATCCATTATATCATCACGGCAACAAACTAATTGATCCAAACATAATAACACAAAAGCCGACATGTTGCCTTAAGTTATAGAAGGTGCAAATTAATCACATTTTATACTTGGCTAACGTGCATCGTAACACAGTATAAAGACATCAGCCTCTCCTTTACTTGTTTATACACCGCACAGTGTATTAGCTTATTGCATTGGCATAGGTTGTACAGAAAGTTATTCTTCCATGAAGGCTACAACAGAAATGCTATACTAAAAACATTTCATGGGTCTACTATGTTAATTAATTTGTGGTGGCCTCGCATCATTCTGCAGATTAAAATTTGTGACTATCCCAAGATAGAGCCTATTCAACTTTTTTTCAATTCTTTTTGATAGATAATGATGATGATGATAATAAAGATAATAATTGCAGTAATAACAATAATAATTATAATTATAATAATAGTTATGATAATATTTATGATAATGAGGATAACAGTAATAATGATGGTAATAATAATAATAACAATATATGGGTCATATTAAACCAGGGTAGCCACTTTAATAATATCTTCCAGAGGGCCCTGCAATTATTATTACCCCAACAATTGCCAGGTATACGTTTACATGCACCTGGGTGGAGAGTGCACACATGGATTAAATGTCTTGCCAAAGGACAGTAGTGCGGGCTAGGATTCAACCCCCCCCCCCCCCAACTCTTGGACTCTTGGAGTCAAGTGAATGAACCAATAAACATGACACCTCCAAACAATGTCTCAAGCCTTAAAGCCCCACTGTCCTACTTGTAGCTACTTGCTCCCTCTATATGGAAAACTTCCCTAATCGGTGCCTGTTGGTCCCCCATGATCCTCTTTTTCTCATGTTAGTTGAGAGCTGAGTTAATGAGATAGCCACCTGTCAGTGACCTCGCTGTGTGGTCTAATCCCTTTTGGCCCAGTAGTATTGATGGTCTTTAATTCTCAAAAGACAATTGCAGATGTTTACCACACCTATATATTGACACATGTATATATTTAAACTAGTATACGCTACTATATAATTGAATTTTGAAAGTATACAAGGATTGCCTTGTTAGTAGAACAATTTGAATGAAACCTCATTATATGAGTGGTTTCAATGCTTCAGAAGTTTGATAGTAAGATAATTTCAATTTTCTTCAATTTCAATTTCATTTCTGATTTATTGTAAATAGAAACATGCTAAATAAATAGTCTAAAGATTCATACAATTCAGTTTGCAAATAGTATAAACATACAAGAATACAAGAGATCAATACTTTTAGCAATCTTCGTATAAATTAATGATTAATTTTTTTTTAAAAAGTAAACAACTAATATCAAATAATCGTTAACAAAATACATGTTGTAATTATTCAGCTAAAATTTTAACAAGCTATATGTTCTCACCATTTTTCTAATTGTCATATTCATACACTTTCAAATTAATAACTAATCTCTTTTTTTACCTAATTAACATTTCTTTTAGAATCATATTTCTATACGGATGAATATCACACGAAATGTAACGATACAAAATATCAAAATTATGATTACTTACAGAGTAGTCCTATCAGTATAGTATGAAATCTGATTAAATCTGGTAAATCTGGAGATAATGACAAGGACTGCCTTATTACTGAAACATTGTTATGTGACTGGTTTATGCTTCAGAAGTTTGATCGTGACAAGGACTGCCTTATTAGTTGAAAACTTTTAATGAAACTTTATTATGCGAGAGGTTAATGTTTCAGAAGTTTGATAATAATAGGATAATATTAAGAAGGACTGCCTTTTTAGTAGAATGCTTATATTATTTATACTATTGTATATGGAGGCTCCTGTATTCAAGCCTAAACGGAATGGCAGAACTCAGTAGTCGACGGGTTAAATGTTATGACCATCCTTATGTTAGAATTTGTTAATTTCACAAATTACAGCAGCGATGCCGATTCCATCATCGCAGCTGACGTCATCGAAAGTCAAGACAAAAGGCCAATAGCCAACGGTCGAGACACAGTCCTCTGGAGAGTTATCAGTAACGTTATCATCCGGCTTGTCGTCAGCCCAGTCTACAACGAGAGAGAGGGAGATGGACAGAGGGTGAGAGAGAGAGAGAGATAGAGAGAGAGAGAGAGAGAGAGAGAGAGAGAGAGAGGGAGAGAGAGAGAGAGAGAGAGAGAGAGAGAGAGAGAGAGAGAGAGAGAGAGAGAGAGAGAGAGAGAGAGAGAGAGAGAGAGGGAGGGAGAGAGAGAACGAACATCAACTTTAGTTATTACTTAACAAAAAGAAGATAGACTGAACAAAATAATATACGGTGAATACTGATTTTGTAAAGACATTATATTGGAACATATTTAATAGTAATTCGTTGAAGTAGACCAATTACGGTTTTACATCTTGTTTTGTCCTAATCAAAAGTCTGTCTTCTTTTCAGCGGCACATGTCATCGGGGGGGGGGGGGGGAGGGGGTCACTCCCAACATGATTGGCTACCCACCCGCGTCCAGAAAACACGTCGAAAAGGTGTCTTTTTCAGCTATATACGGCGTCGTCGATGTTTTCCTTTTGCAAGCGCTGATCGCACACAAAACAGGATACCTTTTCATTCATTCATTTTATTTCCAATTCTCGTAAAAATGCATTCAACAATACATTATACTTGTAAGAAAATATAAAAACAATAAAAAGAATATGAAGGAGTCAGCAGAGCCTATTGGCCTTTCAGAAGCTGGGCTCCAATGTCCGCAGATAATTATACAAAGTAAAGAGAAAAGAAAAAGTGGGTAGTACACAAACAAGTGTGTCCAGATTAGTTAAACATAATTAAGATTGAAATTCCTTCATTAGATGACGTTTATATTTTCGTTTTAATGAGGCAAGAGATGGGCACATTTTCATATCGGTAGATATTGCATTTCAATTAATCACTCCAGAATATATTACTGATCTACGTGAAGTATGGTATTTTTACAATTGAATACATAAATCATTAGTATGTTTTGTGTAATGTGGATGAACATCCTTTGTTTTCAGGTTCACAGGTTTCGACGTTTTCTTAAAAAATGGGTTCCTTTTCAGGTTTACACTGAGGTTTCGATGTTTTCTTACATACGCCATTAGGGTCCATTTCGGAAAATGTGGAATACAAACGCCATTAAGGTAATTTCTGAAAAGGTACGATGCGCCATTAGGGTCCATTTCAGAGGTTGATGGACACGGGTGGATAGCACTTGTGCTTGAGAGTGACACTCCCCGAATGTCATCCAGGACACAATCTCGTATAAAACATTATTTTTGAACGTAAATAACCCAAGACAAAACAAAACAAACAAAACGAAGCAAAGCAAAACTGCGAAAGAAATTGCGAACAATCGGTCGTTTTTGTTTTTCTTGCATGCTGATATAGGTTTTGTTCAATTTTGTTCTTAAATTAAAAGGATACATGACTTGTATCAAGTAATATGACTTATTTTCATATATTTATTTGAGATATTATTAAACAGAACCATAATTTCAGTGTTTACCCGGGGCGTAGTTTTCCCCTCGATACGGCTCTCTTCCCATTCCACAAAGAAACATAAAAAACAACAAAAAAGTCCCTCCAAAATAATGACAATGGAGACGTAGGGATATGTGGTTAAAATGTTTCATTAGAAGATTAACGTGATGCAAATTAAGGTTAAGAAAGCGACAGCAAGGTTAAGAGAGGTTAAAGGGAAGAGTAAATGTTGTGAAATGGACATTAGGGGTTGGGGGGGGGGGGGGTTTAGAAGGGATGGTTGCTGATGTTTACAAAAATGAACGTGAAATACTCACTTGTATATTGCATAGGGATACTTTCGCCGTTCGTATCACAGTAAAATGTCCCTTCCTCCTCGATGTCGTTGCAGTTAAGCCATATCCGGAGCCGGTTACTATACCACGACCACAACCAATACCAATTCTCATATAAATCTATCAAAATCTGCCTCAATTCTAGCATCTCGTCGTTGCTCTCCAAAACAAGAAGCTGTGCGTGGATGACACGACCATTTGGGTTTGTTACATTGATGTCTGCACAAACGTTTCTTGCCCCACTCCATGTCTTCCCTGACTGTCCATAGTACCAGTAAATGCCGCCAGTATAGTAATAGCACTTGTTTGCTCCTTCCACCCACTGATCTGGACAACTTGCTGAAAAGGTTTAATTGTAATGAAAAAAATAAACAACAACGACAACAACACCAGCAAGAGCAACAAAAAGAACAGAATTAATTAATGAAATAAAACATGCTACTTTTTCAATACTAACGGAGCAGAAGAAAGAGTATCCAACACCAATTTTTTTTTCTTCATCCATGAAGATCAATGATATTTCATGATCTCTAAAAAAACGCACATAATAAATCGGTGGCTGTGTCTATACAGATATTTTCCAGCATAAATGAACATAATGAACAGTACATAGCTGTCTCTAAACATTAAACTGTCGTAAACGAAACGGAGTTAAGCCTTTTGTCAACTCTGTTTGTTGCTACGGCAGGCAGCCAGTGAAAGCGAATTCGTTTAATAAAATTATGGAAATGCAAGCATTACTTTAAACAAACAGAACTGTTGTTCCTGGCTCATTTTTCCTGATTGAGGTGTCATATGAACTTTCTAGAAATATGTTTTTTTTCCATGAAATTCAGAAACCGCCTGCCAAATGACTTTTTGGTACCCTCTCTTCAAATTGTTTTTAATCACTCATGCGTAAGCTACGCATCATATGAATTGCATCAAATATAAAAGGAGGATCTAAGCTTTACAAGTATGTGTCAATTATTCATTATAATTATGATTTAAGTTATGATTAAACATCGATAATTCTCGATTTCGTTTTTTTCTGGGACGCACTGTATAGAAAAAGGTGAATCTTATACCTTCTTGGGGCGTCGAGGATTGAGGGGGAGAGGTAGCAACTGAAGGAAAAGTACTTTTTGAAGATTCAGCCGCTGACTGGGTTGACTTAGTGGAATTTTCCCCGAATCTGGTAATTTCACAAACAGTTTTGGAATAGCTTTCACAGGAGTAATCCTGTAAAGTCCACCGAAACGGCCAATAGTTCCACGTCGAAACACAGTCCTTTGGATTGTCACCAGTGCCATCATCGCTTGGTTGCCCGGCATTCCAGTCTTAAATGAGAGGAAACATTAATATTGGATAAGAAAAATAGATCTCTGTAAATTAAAAAAGGTGAGTGGAAATCTGCAAAACAAGGACATTTTGCTTTCAAAGGGCTCTCAATCATCGATTTTTTAAAACATTTTTTGTTATTGCTATCGATACATTATGCCTCACAAGCAGGTGTGTACGCGCAGGGGGGGGGGGGGGGGGGGGGGGGTTTACTCCTTTTTTTTTTTGCATGTGTGTATTGAGTGTGTATTTATTAGCAACCCCCCCCCCCCTTTTGTGATTTTTTTTTTTTTTTTTAATTAAAAAAAAAGATATAAAAAAAATTATGCCAATGGCTGACCTAAAAAAGGTCAGCGGCGGGCTGAGTCGTTGCGAAATTTTTGGCCCGATTTTCAAAATGTTTACCCCCCCCCCCCCTTGAAAAAAACCTGCGTACGCCACTGCTCACAAGAGAAAAGGGCATTTTGGGTCAATAGTTCTGTCCCTAGGCCCTAAAATCTGTTTGGGGAGATTTTGAGACCTGTCTTTAACGTTCAAAATATGTATCCCAAAGTTCCTTCAATTATGTAATACAAAATGGGAATGTGGGAGAAGTGGAACAGGGGAACATATATAATAGAGGATGAAGAGAGGGAGTGATAATAGTGATTATAAATATTGCGTATGGCGTATCCACACACAATTAAAATGAGGGCAGTTTAATACGTGTCGCAGGCATTCTTGCATAACGAGGGTCTGTGGCTGTTATCAGTACGAATGACACCAAGTGTCGATCATAATCACATAACAGCAATATCCCTGAAATGTAAGGCATGCACGTACCTATACCGTATTTTGAGCATTCACGGTCGATACAACGAAGAGATAATTTCGGTGAACAAAACTTGCTCAAGCATTAGTAATACTATTCCCGTAAAAGAGAATAGAAATAGAAGTTGATATTTGACAAATATTTTCAATACAAACATTACAAATAAAAAATAATTGTAAATTGCTGGTAGGGTATCAATAATCTTGAAAAATACAATGGCGCTTCTTGCTGGTCGCACATTAAATTACAAGGACAACAGGAATACAGAACACTTACTAAAGTATTGCATTGGGATGCTTTCGCCGTTCGTATCACAGTAATATGTCCCTTCCTTCTCCATATCGTTGCAATTGAGCCATACTCGGTCTGAATTCCTCAACCGATCATACCAAAGCTCAAAGGAATCTATTAAGTTCTGCCTCAATTCTAACATCTCGTCGTTGCTCTCCAAGACAAGAAGCTGTGCGTGGATGACGCGACCCTTCGGGTTTGTTACATTGATGTCTGCACAAATGTTTCTTGCTTGATACCATGAGACCCAGGATCCCTCAGGATCGAGAAGGTAGCATTTGTTGCTGATACGTCCTTCCACCCAGTCATCTGGACATCTTGCTGTAGCGGTGATATAAAAATAAATCAGATTGTGATTTGATGATTACACCAGTTTGAAACTCATAAAAATAATATTATGCGGGTTGTGAATATAATTTTGCGACGATAGGTGTACATCATTCTGTTAGGGCCTATTTAGGAAAACTAGATCAAATCTGAAGAACACTTTTTTGTCCAGGGTTGTCGAATTATAAAATGGGTTAGACCAAAACACACGCGCACTCTTGCACACGCACATGCACACATTTGCTGACACATGAAACACAATCATGAGTAAAGGAGTATTGTTCTCACCGACAGGCTCTAAGGTCGTGGTTGAACTGTCCGACTCTGGTGAAGATGAGGGTCCGGTAGAAGTGGTAATGTCCGATGACAAAGTCGTGGTGTTACGTGGTGTTACATTACTCTCCAAGACGTGACAGTGGAAGCCAGTCATAGTCTCCTCACACCAACCACTGGAACAGGGTTCTTTCATGCAATCTACACAAAACATTTCATAGAGAATTATTTCAAAAGGAATCGGAGAAAACGATTTCAAGAAACATATGGCTAAATTCTATCGCAGTCCTCGTGTTATTATAATGTTGTAGCAAAGAATTTTTCGAATACAAGAAATGTGCAGTCGATTAGTAGGCCTAAGCAGTTTCTCGAATATTGGTACACGATGTAGGGTCAACAATATTCAATTATTTGAGCCTTAAGATGTTTATTACTAAATTTGACCTTCTGAAACGTCATGCAGCGGTTTTAGCAGTTTAATGGGATTGTGTCGCTTCCATATAAATATAATACCTGGAACGCGACAAACTCTTGTCCCTGGAGGGATACCATGTTTGTTCTTCCTCCTGCATTGGGTATCACCGAGAGAAAATGCTGGGATGAGCTTTGGGATCGTCTGCACCATGGACCCATCTTCTTGCCTAGTCGTAAGGCATTGGCCAAACAATGGTAGAGTGTAGTTAAGACCATAACCATCGCTGCAGCAGCTCTGCTCTTTGCTTTCAGGACATGGCTGAGACGAAGCTTGTCCTGTTGCTTTGTCAGAGAAGAAGAGACGGCAAGTACAATTGAGAGAGAGAGAGAGAGAGAGAGAGAAAGAGAAAGAACGAGAGATAGATAGATAGATAGAGAGAGATAAAGAGAATGATGGGTGTGTATGTTTGCATAGCAGAGGAAATTATAAACGACAAGAAAGATGAAGAGAGACATGGATGGAGTGTGACAAGGTGTGGGTGGGTGGGTGTGAGTGTGTGTAGTATGTGGACGGTGACAGAGTAAAATCGTGAGAGATGAAGTCAGAGAGACACGGACGATTGGATGGAGTTTAAAAATCCGTGGATGGGTGTGTGGGTGTGCGTGTGTGTGAGTGTGCGTGTGCGTGAGCGTGCGCGTATAGTATGGGGATGGTGATGGAGTAACAACATGGGGGTGAAGAGAGTCACGTAGGGAGGGATAGAGTAAGCGAATCAGTGGGTGTGTGTGTGTGTTGTGGTGCGTGCGTGCGTGTGCGCGAGCGTGTGTGTGTGTAGTATGAGGCAGGTGACGGAGTGACAACGCATAGTTTAAGAGTGACATGGAGGGAGGGACGGAGTTTGACAATCGGTGTGTGTGTGTGTGTGTTTGTGTATGTGCGTGAGTGCGTGCGCGAGCGTGTGTGTTAGTATAGGGATGGTGACAGAGTAACAACGTGAGGGATGAAGAGAGACATGGAGGGAGGGTGGATTGTTAGAAGGTGTGGGTGGGTGTGAGTGTGTGTAGATGGAGTGGGGATGTTTTAGAGAAAATGAGAAAATAATTAGGGAACAGGAAGAAAAATGAGAAAGAGACAGAGAGAGACAGAGAGAGGAGGAGGAACGAATAAAACAACCAGATCAAAGAAAATATAATAGGAAAATGAGTCGGTTTTGGAAAAGAAAGTAACTATGTAGTGAAAAACATGGTTCGTACTCCATATAGGCCCAATTAAGCAACAACAAAATTAATGAGCCTTTCCAATACTTTTGATCCTACCGAAGTAGATTTTTGACAAAAATAAATGCATGATGCTTGATACACAAGTCATGTAATATGTGAACAATTGTTTTTATCATCCTGGTGTTTGCCAAATGTTAAAATATGTTTCAGAGAAATTGTGTGTGAGTGTGTGTGTATGTGTGTGCGTTTGTACATATAAATTACATCAGGCAAAGACTTTATACTACAAAACATTCAATTTAAAATAAGATGAACTAAATATGAAGACAGGATTTGCACCGTTTTTTCCCCATATCTTTACAAACTTAGCTCTTTATTTCCAGCTCCAAATATTGTTTCCAGCATATTATATGTCCCACTAAATTTCCCTCTAGGATAAAAAGAAAAGAAAAGAAGAAAGGTCTCTAAGCTCAGACTGTATCGTCATACTCGCAGGCATAAACTCACCTGTAATCAATAGTATCACCATAATCACTTTTCCAGTCGAGCATGATAGATGGTAAATGCCACGCGAACCCTCGCGACACGTTTCAGCTCTCTGTATATTGAAAATTATTTTGAAAGCTAATTACTTTTTAGCGTACTATATTCTTAGGGGTGGTCTAATAATGACAACGTGATTCATCATTCTGGTTCGTTTTGCGGGTAACCATAGCAAAAATAGGTTATTTAGAATTCAAGCAATTGTTTTCCAGTCAAGTATGATTGATAGAATGTTAATGCCATTTGAATACTCGTGACACGCAGCTCTCTGTAATATTGAATATTTGAAAACTAATTACTTGGGATCGTATTTGTGCACAATGAAAATGAGATTAAGTATAACCAAGTCCAATTCATCTTAATGGACCGGGCAATTAATTTTGTTGTGCTTTGTTCTGTGGCGGGTTATACTTACGGATGGTCATTTAGAATTGAAGTAATAGTATTCCTAGTTTTATAGTTTATGGAGAGATACACGAATACGATTACGGTAAAGCTGATTATTTCTTCTGAGGCAACTTAATCTTACAGTAATATATCATGCACATAAAACATTAAGTATTATCCAATATCTCCTGGAATATTTGAATCTAATAACAAGAAGCCAAGAAAACAAAAATAACTACTCCTTCCCGCGCCGTTCGTGCTTACTTGAAGGACAAAGTCCAGTGGGCTCATGCGGGTCTCATCAATCAAAGCTTACTCAAGTAAATATTATTCCGTTGAATCTAATGAATATCACTTGACCAGTTTTGTTTGAGGGCGGGTGTGTGTGGGTGTGCGTTGTGTGTGTGTGTGTGAATAAAACAAAGACACATTTTATGTGGATGGGTGAGGATGAGAACAAACCTGATGGGCCTTTATTTGGAAATTTGGTTAAGGAAATACATATTTTAGGGGTTAGTTATTCATTAGATCGAAGATTAAAAGATGATTTGAATTATAAAGAAATTCTACGTAAAATTAAAAAAAATTGCTTGTATGGTGGAAACAAAGAGATTTAACTATTATGGGTAAAATACATTTGCTAAAAACTTATGCGCTTTCAAAATTAAATTATATTTCATCTCTCGTTATTGTCCCTCATTGGGTATACAAAGAAGTTGCAAAAATTTCATTTGAATTTATATGGAGGGGGAAAGATAGAATTAAACGGGCAATAATGTATCAGGATTATGACTATGGAGGATTAAGAATGATTAATTTTGAAATGTCCGTTAAAATACAGCGCATAATGTGGATAAAACGTCTTTTATATAGAGAGAAAAGTTTGGGATGGAAATTGTTTTTTGATCATTGCTTACAGTTTGTGGGTGGTAGATTTATTTTTGTATGTGATTATGATTTTAAAAAGATTAAACTCGTTTTAGATATTCCACCATACTATATGGAAATGTTGCAAGCATGGCAAGAGACAAGTAATTTAAGATATTTGGAGGGTTATATTAATCCAATTATTTTTAATAATCAGAATATATGTATAAATGGAAAAAGTATATTTGATAGATACTTGTTTGAAAGAGGGATTGTTCAACTGAATCACTTGGTTGAGAAAGGTCATGTTAAGTCTGTTAAATATTTTATTAACCTCGGTATGAAAGGTAATAATTTGCTTATGATTATTGATATTTATGATGCGATACCCAGGTTATGGAAGGATGATTCAGGGTTAATAGAATTCCTCGAGGTTGATTTGATAAGCTTTAATACTTATTTCCATATTTCTAGTAAAAAAAATACAGTTTGTGGATGTGGGTTCAAGAACAATCTATGATTATTTTATCAAAGCACTGCAACAAACGTATGATTTGCAGGTAAGGGATGGGCAAAATGATTATGATTTTATAGATAAACAATTAAAAGAAATATTTGTTAGACCAAGAATTACTATACTCATTAGAAAACAACGTGAATTTCAATTTAAATTATTACATGGAGCCATATACACTAATGAGCATCTTCATACATTTGGTTTTGTTGGTGATAATTTATGTTTGTTTTGTAAGCAGGAAATAGAAACATACAAACATTTATTTTTATCTTGTGGGAGCGTTCAAAGGATATGGCAGGCTTTAATACAACTTTTTGAGTTAGATGAAATTAAAGATTTAGAATGGCAAGATATATTTGTTGGGTTGGTAGGTAGTTCATATAGAATAAAAATGTGTAATACTATCATTTTCATGGTGAAGTATGTTACATTTATGTCAAGATCGGGGGGGGGGGCGAGTACTAACTTTAGAAAAGATGAAAAAAAAGCATTTTTAAGTATAGGGATGAGGAAAAGAAAATAGCAATTAAAATGGGAAAGCTGGGATCACATTTCTTAAAGTGGGAGCAGCTTAAGATTAATCAAGATTTGTTTTCTTCTCCACCGTGAGCCTGTTAAAAGCGTAAATCTATTTTGCGGCCTGGATAACTTATTTAGTATATTTTTCTTGAGTTGGGAATGTTGGCAGACATCCACTGAGTGAGTAGTGTGTGGGGGGGGGGGGTGAGTGAGTGAGTATGTGTGTGGGTGGGTGAGTATGTGTGTGGGTGGGTGAGTATGTTTGTGTGATAGAGGGTGAGTATGTTTGTGTGATGGAGGGGGCAGGGAGGGGGCAGGGAGGGAGCAGGATTGTTTCAGTAAAATTACCTCCAGATTTGTTTAAGTTTTTTTTTGTTGTAATATATAAGTGAATAACATTTACAATTGACATATTATGTTCAGGTACTTATACGTTTACTTTTTTGCTAAGTTATATTATACTGCAAATAAGTTTGTGTTTAATTATGTTTATGTAAAAGCATCAATATTGAACACGTTTATTTTATTCAATTGTATGTCATGGTTTGTATTACACATTTGGAGAAATAAAACAAAATTGTTAAAAAAAAAAAGTGTGTGTGTGTGTGTGTGTGTGTGTGTGTGTGTGTGTGGTGGGGGGGGGGGGGTGATATCACCTACCAATAATTGTCCCACTACTTCTACTGTAAAAATTAGCGTTTTATACACTCAGTCAATGATTGAACCTTCCCAAAACAAGCTTGGAAACTCAAGTTGGATCAAGTATATAGCTCTCTTATAATGGCATAATCATTGCTTTGATTATTATCATTATAAAATGTGTTTATTCCTCTTTAAAAATGATACCATATTAATGGATTTTGCTGCCATGGAATGAGCAGTACATCAGAAAAAGGAGCAGGTTCAAAAGTTGCCAAATGAACTGGTAATCACTAATATTGTTATGCGGAGTATTCTTCTCTCGTTGACATATTAAGGGAGTGTGATTCTTGGAATTGACAGTGGGGCTATCGTTCCCAACTGGTCATCCATCAATGCCAAATTCTAACGAATCTGAATTTATGAATTCATGCACAAGATTGGCTACTATTTGGTCATCAACTTTCTGAAGCATCATGCCTAGATTAACAAGGCCCGGGCAATATGGCAATTTTGAATACACGTTCGAAAAAAGTGAAGTGCTTTTTGCAACTTATAACTTTTGAACTTGCCCCTTATTTTTATCTACTGCACATTCCTTGAGTGAAAATTCATTAAAAATGGGTATCATTTTAAAAAAGGAAAAAAGGAGAAAAAGAAAAAAATCAATCAATCAATCAAAAATCAAATTTTTAATGATACTCAATATAACGATGATTATGCCATGAAAAGAGACAAATAATCGATTTTGAGTTTTCAAACTTTTCTTTTAATAGGTGTAGTTTCCATGTACCCTTCACACGTGATTTGTCATAATTGTTATTTTCACCTGTTTTGTAAAACAAATTATTAATGTACTATGCATGTGAATGAAGTTTTCCTATCAAATACTCTCACACATACAAATATAATTATTTGAGAGTTTTTTTTATATAGACCATCAATAATTTATTGCATTTTGCCCCGACCCCTAACATAAAAAAAACCCTCTATGTGGGCATGCCTTGAACCATAATGCATGGCCCTACAGAGGAATAAAAACCGTGTCGATCAGCTATATTAGTGGCCTTTTTTAAGGCATTAATCCTAGTTACTGTCAGTTATGATTTAAGGACATAGGTCCCCTAGTTAATTAGCATAGTAGCACACATGTTTGAGTAAAATATCTTGATCAACCTAAAGCCGGTCTTGGTTTGAGGGGGCATTTGAAATGTTCAAATGTTATGTTCTGAAAAACGACCCCTTATTCTTCCTCTCTCTCCCCACGGAATATCACTCTTCTCTTGAGCAACTCAGGCGGTATAGCCGCGAATATGAGACTTTTCCTTGTCAAAGATACTACCATTGTTGAAGAAACAAAATGCAAGGCAACATAAAAAAAAAAGTTTTCTGGTAATGAAGAAAAGCGAGTGCAAGATGAAGAAAATATTTTTTATTATCATTACTATTTTATTACAATATTGTAAGCATCATCATCATCATTTCATGTACCGGTTTATATTTACATGCCATCTGCAGAACTAATCATGAAACGAGGATTATCAACGTTTTATTGACATGATATGTTGAACGAGAACACAGATGGATACGAAGACAAATAAATTGAATTATCACGTTGTTTGCACTTCTTTCTTTATTGTTTCATAACATATAATGACTTACTATATTTTCAATATCATTTATTTTCGAATAAATAAAAGACTACCAAGACTATGGCTATTAACTCCTTATTAGCCACACCCAATTTCAACAACAAAAAAACGCAACAACAACGCGATGCGGAAATAAAACACACTGAAGCACAATTCCAATTTCACGAAATTCCTGACGTATTCAGAGAGGGAGGGGAGGAGGGAGACAGACAGACATAGACAGTCAGAGAAAGATAGATAAATAAATAGAGAGAGAGATAGAGAGAGAGATGATTGTGATGAATTATGATTTTGTTGTAATCTCTGTCATCGATTTAGCTCTTTCCATTACAAAAAAAAAAAAAAATCAAATATGCGTACAAAAATTCAATAATTGATCTAGCAACATCATATCATAATAGGGTTCTAAGAGATGTATAGATAGAGAAAAAATAAACAAAATTAAGCGGGAGGCAAAAACTAAAACAAAATGAATATTTCAAATTATGAGAAACGAAGTCGAAAGCATTCAATGTAAATATTATTTTCGTTTTCGAGAATTAAACAATGTTCATTTCAAATTCATTTCCCAAATAGTCCTATATTTGATTTGCACATTAAAAAAAGGGGACATTTTAGTGTAGATCATGGCATAATGTTGGTCAGAATATAGTTATTCTAAAACCCATGTAAAACGAAGGCTTATAGGCCTATTATTTATGGCTCGGTTGATAATCGGCCGAGCTTTAGCAGACGACAATCATTGACAATGGGGAAATGAATGGAGGAATCGACCGATCTGCGCGTGCGGCGGTGCTTACGCAATTTGTATTGTGAGTGTATTAAGAAAGGAAAGACGTGAAGC